ATGTATATAACTTTGTCTCATGTAATATCTCAGTTTCTATCTCTGATCATCATGTAATATCTCTGTCTCAAATTTTATTTGCTCTGTATTCCACATTATCTGCTATTACTATTGAAACTCTTACTTTCTTTTATTAAATTTTGCATCGTATAAATTTTTCTATCCCTTTTATGTTCAGCCTTAAAGGACACAAATTAATACTTAAAGTGAACTTTTTTTCATAAAAGCAGACAGTGGGTAATGATATTTTTAAATCTGTTCTGTTACTCTTTTTTAATTGCTTTATTAGACCAATTACATTTAATGACATTATTGTTAAATTAAGGCTTAACAGACATGCCATTTTTTTTTTGGTTTTAATTAATTCTATCTGCTTTTCAATCTCTATTTACTTTCTCCCTGTATTACTGCAGGTTACTTAAAGATATTTTATTATTTATTTTTTTACTTTCTAACATTTTTTCAGAATTCGATTTTAATTATCTGTTGTGTTTTAGAGCACATTTTTATAGCCTTTTTAGTTGTTGCCTAGATATTACATTATATATACATATATTAAAGTCTGCTATTTTTTTTTTAATTTTACCAATTCCAGTTAAGGATAGAAAAATTACTGCCACCTACATTGTCTTACCCTCCCCATTTTAAAAATAATTGTTTTACATATCTCCTCTAATATATTGAGAACCACACTAGATAGTGATCCTCAAAAAATTTTAAAAACTCTAAGGGGGAAAATATATTTAGCCATATTTTAACTCTTGTTTTTTATGCCTTCCTCATGTTTCAAGATTCCTTTATGTGTCATTTCCTTTCTGTACAGAGAAGTTTCTTTAGCCAAATTTTAGGTATATGCTGAAGACAAATGTATGGATGCTTTAAATCCTTATATGATAATTCTAACATAAGTTACCTTGATACTGATATTGTTGATTGTCATCATCCTGTTGGAAACTGGACATTTTGGTGTTGTAAGAATCTGAATCTTACTTAACCATTGCTTTAACAGTCAGGCCTCCTATGAAACTCCTGTGGTGGTTAAAGAGGGGATGTTGCCTTGATATTGCCAGGTGGGTATAGAAATCAAGATTCTCCACTCTGGCTCCACTGACCCAGCAGGTGTGAGCCTTCATGTTAGCACAGGCAGAACTTGGAGTTTTGGCTCTCCACTAGGACTCTAAAAACACTGCCGAAGCTGGGAGAGGAGAAACACCTCCATTTCCAAAAGATCTCAAAGGATGCCTATTTATATTGATGACATTAATGGTCAGAGAGGTCATACCTTCTGAAATATCATTGCCCTAGTGTACAATTCCACCCCAAAATTAGATTCACCCCATGAGAGGTGGGGAGAGAGACCTAGAGACAGTGTTGTACTGAAACAGTCTCCATTTTCCATCCTAGACAGCATATTAAAAAGCAGAGACATGACTTTGCTGACAAAGGTCCATACAGTCAAAGCTATGGTTTTTCAAGTAATCATGTATGGATGTGACCATTAGACCATAAAGAAGGCTGAGCACTGAAGAATTGATGCTTTTGAACTGTGGTGCTGGAAGACTCTTGAGAGTTCCTTGAGAGTCTCTTGAGAGCAAGGAGTTCAAACCAGCCAATCCTAAAGGATATCAACCCAGACTATTCATTGGAAGGGCTGATACTGAAGCTCTAATACTTTGGCCATCTGATGCAAAGAGCTGACTCATTGGAAAAGACCCTGATGCCAAGAAAGATTGAAGGCAGGAGGAGAAGGGGATGATAGAGTATGAGATTGTTGGATGGCATCATCAATTCAATGGACATAAGTCTGAGCCAACTCCAGGAGATAGTGAAGGACAGGGAAGCCTGGCATGCTGCAGTCCATGGTATCACAGAGAGTTGGTCATGACTGAGTGACTGAAAAAGAACAAAGTTTCCACTGTATGATAAAAGCATTCTTCCCAAGTTCACATTCAGCAACATCTCATTGGTAGCTTAAATTGATCACAGTGGGTTTTGTTTTTCTCAGATATACAGTTGTTAAATATTTACAAGCAAAGAACCATCAAAGCTACCTCCTACTTCTGCGAAATGGAGTTGAGATAGAAATTTGAGAAAAATTAGATTCTAACTTCTTGCATGTCTGAGTTGTACACCTGAGGGAAAAATATGCTATTCTTTAGTTCACACGAGTTATGGCAAATAAACAAAACTTTGAGAATTGTTAACTTTGGTTCACAGTTTTTAATCAGTTCAGTTCACTTCAGTCACTCAGTCGTATCCAAATCTTTGCAACCTCATGGACTGAAGCACGCTAGGCTTCCCTATCCATCACCAACTCCCAGAGCTTGCTCAAACTCACATCCATCAAGTCGGTGATGCCATCCAACCATCTCATTCTCTGTCATCCCCTTCTCCTTCTGCCTTCAATCTTTTCCAGCATTGAGGTCTTTTCCAATGCATCAGTTCTTCACATCAGGTGGCCAAAGTATTGGAGTTTCAGCTTCAACATCAGTCCTTCCAATGAACNTGGGCCTGAGTCCTTTTGCAGGAAGTCACCATTACCTCCATGATCCCTACCCACAGTTCTGCCACATCCAAACAACAGCGAAGGAACACAGTCCTGCCCATCGACAGAAAGTTGGATTAAACATTTACTGAGCATGGCCCCACCCATCAGAACAAGACCCAGATTCCCCATAGTCAGTCTCTCCCATCAGGAAGCTTCTAAAAGCCTCTTATCCTTCTCCATCAGGGCAGACAGAATGAAAACCACAATCACAGAAAACTAACAAACTGACCACATGGATCACAGCCTTGTCTAACTCAATGACACTATTAGCCATGCCACGTAGGGCCACCCAAGACGGACGGGTCCTCGTGGAGAGTTCTGACACAACATGGTCCACTGGAGAAGGGAATGGCAAACCACTTCAGTATTCTTGCCTTGAGAACCCCATGAACAGTATGAAAAGGCAAAAAAGTTTTTAATACTGTACACTAAAATTACTGGACTTTAGGTCTTGAGGGAGAAAATACATTTAAGTGAAAATTTTATATAATGCTCACATTATTATAATAACCATTCTAAATGACCATCTGACTATGACATTAGTGCTCAGACAGAATCTCTCATTTTCTCAACATTTAGTAAACAAATATATAGAGTACCCATTACATGACTGAAACTATATTGCTTGTGTTGAACAGAGAGAAGACAGAGTACATAAATAAATTTGCTTAATTAAATAAAGGCTATAATGAAAATGGGCTTCCCTTGTAGCTCAGTTGGTAAAGAATCCACCTGCAACGCAGAAGGCCTGGGTTGGATCCCTAGGTTGGGAAGATCCCTGGAGAAGGGAAAGGCTACCCACTTCAGTATTCTGGCCTGGAGTCGCAAAGAGTCCAACACAACTGAACAACCTTCACTTTCACTTTCATAATGAAAATACCATTGGATGATGAGAAATACAGTGGTTTAAGAATGTTCTTTAATTGTGTGGTAAGTGAAAACATCTCAAAGGATATATCAGTATTTGAGTTGAGATTTGAATAATAAGCAAAAGTCATATATGCTGAAATTTCAGGGCAAACATGTAAGGATGAGATGTGTAAAAACACAGATTTTAATAATCAACATATATAAAAAATAACGTAATTCTCTCAGAAAACAGTGCCTTAATATCACCATATAAAAACCATAGAAACTGCCTTTGTTAATTATTTTTCTACTGTTTAGCATTCCAATGAAGCATAAAATGCTCTTTCATTAACACACTATGGTTAATATAATGGTCTTCAAAAAATAAAAATTTTAGTTCACATTATATTTGGCTTTTAATTGTTAAAAAAGTTTTTATGCATGCTACAAGTTATATGACAAATATATTTTGCCTTGAACTTATTATATTTACATTGTAACTTAAAATTTCTTTTTTCTTTAACAAGATTGTGGTTTATGCTCTTGGCCACTGCATTCTAAACTATTTGCAAAAGAATTTAATTGTTAAAAATTAACACAATCAGGGCTTCCTTGGTGGTCTGGTAGTTAAGAATCCACTTGACAAAGCAAGGGACACTGGTTCAATCCCTGGTCTGGGAAGATCCTACATGCCGTGAAGCAACTAAACCCATGAGCTGCAGCTACTGAGTCTGCACTCTAGAGGCCACAACTACCAAGCCCATGTGCCTAGAGCCTGTGCTCCACACAAGAGAGAAGCCACTGCCTATGAAGCCCGAGCAACACAACCAGGGAGGGGCCCTACTCGCCACAATTAGAGAAAGCCTGTGCACAGGAATGAAGTCCCAGCACAGTCAAAAACTAAAATAAGTAAATCTTTTTTAAAAATATATTAAAAATTAATAGTCATTGAATTAATTCTTCAATGTCAATATGCCCTTTATCTACGTTTATGTGGTAGTACTATCAGAAGAGGGAAGAAGCTTCAGCTGAAGACAGCACATTTAAATATGGAGCTACTTTTCCTGATTGGTAATACAGTTTAGCATCTGTGTTAATACAGATCAGACATCATATGTGATGCTGGTAATTAAAATTTATAAAATTATAAAAACTCATTGTACTGTTATAGGAAAGGTTACAAGAAATTTATCATAATTTCCATTTGGATCTATGTGTGATTGTTGCTATACTATCATCTGTGAAATTGGGAGGAAAACTGTTCTTGTTTACTTAATGTCACTTATTACTATTAATTCACCAATAATTCCCAGGCATGTGCTAACTTCCTTCTTTGTTTATGGAATGTCCTACCTCCCAATTTTTTGACAACTGAAACTTAAAAATAAAATGAACCTTTCTTATGTGCAAAGAACCATTGAGGCAACCTTATATTTCATGTTTATATTAAAAGTTGCACAGAAACACCCTTAAAGCAACCTCTCTTTGAAATGCAAACACAAGAGAGGACTTCCTGATATAGTCCTCAATTTCACTGATGGACCATACCCTGAATTAGTTTCTGAAAGAGAGCTGTTCTTTATCTTTGATAGTGAGAACTCACCTGATCACAAAGGAAGCTACTGTTTCTTGTGCCAACTTTATCACAATCACAGGGTCTGCAAACATCTATGGCTGAAGGATCTGCACCAACTTGTCGGAAAAAGTAATCCTTACACAGCTCACAGTTCTTTCCTGCATCAGGGAAAGGTTATGCATTATGACTTCCAATTCATTAAGATCAGCTGCATAATTCAAAATTAAAGACTGTATTCCTTTGAGGGAATTCTATAATTTTCGGGATGTCCATTTTAATGTACCTTTCATCTCTACCTGCCAGTTTAGTGATCCACAGCATATGAAACAATGAACCTGTTACAAACTGTGCTTTACTTCATTAAACTCCCATCTGTTATATAATACCACTCTTCTAAAAACCTGTGCTTTGCAGGGACCCATACATTTTGAAATAGTTTATTTCCAAACTTAAAACTTTAGTTTCAGGTCAGGTACTGAATCTAAATCAAATATGAAAAATTGCTACATACAGTTGGAAGCAAATAAGCATATAGTATTAAAATATTTTTCTGGAACTAAATCTGATAAAATAGAAGACTACTCTTAATGTAATTTATTATTCTATAGTCAATGTGATTAAAAGTGAATGCTTCTATTGGTGCCTATGGCAATTATTTTTCATTTCAAATATCAAAATACATTTTTATATTTAGCTACTCCAAATAAATTTCATATTAAATGTTAGAATATCTTGACACTTTAGAAATATGAACTAATTCCTGTTGCTTACAATTTATTATTCAGAAAATTTTCTTTTCCATCTTATATTACAAAATAATGTAAATTAGAGGAAGTTTCTAAAGTAAATATGATTAGCATATCAGATCACTGAAATAAAACTCAAGGCTGTCAATTCCCTCTTTAAACATGCTGCACTTTTGCTCAAATACTGCTGAAATTGGCCCAGTGTTAGAAGACTGAAACTAACTTGGGCATCCCTCGTAGCTCAGTGGGTAAAGAATTCACCTGCAATGCAGGAGACCCGGGTTCAACCCTTAGGTCAGGAAAATCCTCTGGAGAAGGAAATGGCAACCCACTCCAGTATTCTTGCCTGGAGAATCCCATGGACAGAGGAGCCTGGCAGGCTACAGTCCATGGGGTCACAAGAGTCAGACACAACTTAGTGACTAAACCACCAACATGAAAATAACATAATCAAATGAAAAACTCACATTCTAATGGATATTGACTATGGGTTAATTAAAAATAAAATGGATTTATGTCTAGGATATTTCCATTTATATATGCTGATGACTCCCAAATTTATATCTCCAATCTTGAAATCTCTCCTTTGTTAATCATCCAATGAATATTTATTGAGTGATTACCACATTCCAAATACTATGCTAAGTGCTGAGGAAAATACACAATGCACCCTTTTTACAGGGCTATCTTATAGTCTAGTAGGTAAGAAGAATCTTAATTAAATAATTACAGGAATAAATATACATTTAAAAGCTGTGATAAGCATAAGATGCCAGTCAAGTATACAGATTATACTCATCTTCTCTGAAGAATCATGGAAGGCTTTCTTTAAGAAAGAAGTTTCAGAACTGTGTGTCTGACTGCCTTGGTTCAGTTCAGTTTAGTCACTCAGTCGTGTCCAACTACTTGCAACCACATGGACTGCAGCACGCCAGGCCTCCCTGTCCATCACCAACTCTCAGAGCTTACTCAAACTCATGTCCATTGAGTTGGTGATGCCATCCAACCATCTCATCCTCTGTAGTCCCCTTCTCCTCCCGCCTTCATTCTTTCCCAGCATCAGGGTCTTTTCCAATGAGTCAGTTCTTCGAATCAGGTGGCCAAAGTATTGGAGTTTCAGCTTCTACGTCAGTCCTTCCAATGAATATTCAGGGCTGATTTCCTTTAGGATGGACTGGTTGAATCTCCTTGCAGTCCAAGGGACTCTCAAGAGTCTTCTCCAACACCACAGTTCAAAAGCATCAATTCTTCAGCACTCAGCTTTCTTTATAGTCCAACTCTCACATCCATACATCACTACTGGAAAAATCATATCCTTGACTAGATGGACCTTTGTTGGTAAAGTAAAGTCTTTGCCTTTTTAATATGCTGTTTAGGTTGGTCATAACTTTTCTTCCAAGGAGTAAGCGTCAAAGAGAGTTTATTCTTTGTTTCTTGGGAACATACAGGGAACATGTTCAAAACAGAATTTGCCATTTTCTCCATAAGTTTGACCCTCCTGTATTCTATCTAAATGGCTGGTACCAATTTTGACTGCTGCTCAAATTAGAGTGTTAGTCCTAAGTTCTGACTCTTCTTACTTCCCTTATCTATAGTCTGCACCTTGCTCAGAAAATGCCATGGCTTTCTACCCCAAATATCTACTGGATCCACTCATATCTATTCACACCACCTTAATTGTCTTCTCACATTATTTTTCATCTGAACTTTTGTAATACCTGAATAACTGGTTTTCCCAAACCACTTTGACACTCTGCAAACCATTCTCTATAACCTGATAGATGTTTCAAAAACACAATACTTTCCCGAAGTGCCCATACGTGGCATCTCATTAACTTTAGGGTACAAGTCAACCTCTTTATCGTATTTTAGATGGTCCTCTAGCATCTGAGCTCTGCCTTTCTTCCTGGCTCCTTTTCTAACAATCAACCATTGGCACTTCTGCGAATGCGCCATGTTTCTCTTTCCTCTCAGCCATTGTGCCACTGTTTCTCTTACTGGAAAACTTTGTCTGCACCCTAATATCACCCTTACTCTCTCACCTGGTTAACTCCTACTCATCTTCTCCTCTCTGGCATTCATCAAACCTTTTAACTGTTCCTTTAACAGGGTGTCTTTACCACCATGTGGGCTTCCCAGGTGGCTCACCAGTTTAAAAAAAAAAAAATCTGCCTGCCAATATAGAAACACGGGTACAATCCCTACATCAAAAGATCCTCTGAAGGAGGAAATGGCAACCCACTCTAATATTCTTGCCTGGAAAATCTCATGGACAAAGGACCCTTGTAGGGTAAAGTTCATGGGGTCACAAAGAAATGGACACAACTCAGTGACTAAACAAAAACAACAACAAACCACCACCATGTAATAATCCATACAAAGACAATAAAATTCATCATCTTATTAATTTTTATATTCCCAAAACCTAGCCAAGAGCTTGTACCATTTTAGGTTACCATTAATTGTCTAACAGATTCACTCATGCTTCAAAGTAGCATAATTTCAAACCCATCAGACTTGGGCCATTATATTTTACAAATTCTGATATTATCTATTTCTGCTTTTAACATATCAGCCTTTCAAAAAATAGCAATTTTTCAATAACTAGTCAAAATGCTGGTTGGTTCTTGGAACAAGACTTTAATAGTTAGTTTCTGCTTTTAATGACAATTTTTAAAAAGGGGATTCCCAGATTATCAGAGTCCATGTCAAATCTGAATGCAAACATCTCTACATGAGAATCCAGGAATAGTAGAAGATCTGGGTCATACAAGAAAATTTGTTTTTAGGATATATACATTCAGAATTGGAGAAGGAAATGGTGACCCACTCTAGCATTCTTGCCTGGGAAATCCCATGGATAGAGGAGCCTGGTGGACTACAGTCCATGAGATCTCAAAAGAGTTGGACACAACTTAGTGACTAAACAGCAACAACAATACATTCAGAATGATACAGCAATTCTTGATTTATCCAAGACATATTTATGATCTAATTAAATGGTGTGAATTTATTTTAAAAAACCCTTTTTCCTGAAATTATATAGCTTAAGTCTCCAGTATTTGAAAGCTATGCAATTGGAATAATGAAGATTTGGTAAACCAGAGTTGTTTTCAAACTTAATAGTATGAAAGCACTTTCTTAAATAAAATAGCAATATATAATTTAAAATAATATGCATTATATGTAGGTCAAGCCTATCTTTGTTATTCGTGTTATCTGCTAGTTACCTGCAGTGTTATGCTCACAGTCATCACAGACACCTCCACCTCCTCTGTAGTGCTCAGATGGAAAGGGATCCACCGAGATGTTGTAGTGGCAGCTTCTGGAATGGCTGTTGCACTCACAGGGTTTACAGTTAAAGGCATGAACGTGATCACTTTGGCGGAAAGGCTTGTCATTATAAAGAGGCAGGCAGCGATCACACTAGAATAAAGTAATATCAGGTTAAAGCTATATTTTCTCTTTTTATTTACCTATCAGGTACTTTCACCAGATAGAAAGCTAATAAAAAGTTAAAAGCCAGACACTACTGTATTTTTTAAGTGTTTTATACATCAGAAATCAGCATATTACAGGCATGGTCACACAGATTTATAAAAGTGAAAATGCAAGCTGAAACAATGTAAAGTGATATTAATAACCAGTGGGGGAAATTATGATTGTTTCACAATCTGAAATTTTTTCTCAAAACATTAAAAACTTGACTTTTAAGTCCTGGTTCTACCAAGTAAAAAGCTTGGAGTCAGCACTCCATCATAACAAAAAATAAAATGTGGAACAGAATGAAAAAACGACGACTTTCCCTGCATCCCTAAGTGGGGGACGCAAGGCAAGCAGCTGTCCCTAAGATGGGAGAAGCAGGCAAATACAGGGAGCCTCAGCTATAGGAGGCCAACAAAGGTCTGTCTAGTCAAAGCCATGATTGTTCCAGTAGTCATGTATGGATGTGAAGAGAAAAACAAAACACAAGGACTGTGAGAAAACTAAAAAAGTAGCAAAATACACATAATAGGAATATCAGAGGGAGAAGAAATATTGGAAACAACAACAAAATCCATTACACTGAGGTATATCTTTTTCAAACTACAGAGAACTAAAGAAAAAATTCCAAAAGAGAAACCAAAATTAAAGACACTGAGCACACAGTTACTAACTAATGACATCCAATTTCTCTTCAGAAAAATGTAAACAAGAAGAGAATTGCATGAAATACTTAGTGTTGAGAGAAAAAACCCACCAACCTAGAATTATATACTCTGCACAATCATCCCTCAAAAGTGAGGGAGAAATAAAGATGTGTAAGACACACACAAATTGAAAAGATGTGTTGCCTGTAAACCTGACTTGGAAGAAATTTTAAAAGTTTTGCAGAGAAGAGAAAAATAATATAGGTAAGAAACTTGGACCTACATAAAGAAAGGAAGAGCATCAAAGAAGAAGTAAAGATGAGACTATTAAAACTTTCAACAGTTAAAAATGTAAACGGAAATATATAGAAAATATTAAAACAATAAATTATAATTTAATATTATAAACCTTGAGAATTAAATTATTTTGTTAAAAAGCATTATCTTAAACAGTGCTTACCTTCTTATTCTATAAATTTCCATATAAAACAAGCATCTTTTCTACATGTTGAGAACTGTCATACTCTTTTTCTAAGCATGGATCAGCCTACTTACATCATTCACATGTTTGCGCTTTCATCAGCATGAAATATATCTGAGAATTCTTTAAGGTAAAGTTTTTGTCAACATCACTTAAGCTAGGACATCTTTACCTATTCATCACAACCAGTGTCCTCGTTTATGCTAAATTCACCTTAAGTTGCTCTGCCTGCATATATATATGCAAATGGTAGCACTGATCAACTATTTTGTTTGTAAGAAGAAATGTTTAATTGAAATTCCACTCCCAAAACATTTTCTTTCCATCATTTCAACAATCATTGCTTTTTGAATATTCATACTCATAAATGCCAAATGAGTTTATCACTGACAAAGATGTTACATAACTACAAGCTTCTTTGTGAATGAAATAATTAATGAATATGCACAGACCAGTTACCACAGATTGAAAGAAGAGACATGATTGGTCACTGATCATGATGTGCAATGATTATTTATTTAGTAATTTGTGGACTGAAGAGCCAGCAGTAAAATTATATAAAATCTACATTTTATATAATTATTTACAGTTAATATACCATAATAACTAATATATGAAACTTTTTAGAGGACTGATGCTTAACTAAACTATGGTAAATAAAATTCATGCATATTGGAAGTGTGCAGATGCAATTGCATGTATAAGTGAAGAAAACTTTTCTAAGTCACATGAAACTTGTTACGTACTGGATCAATTAAAGCTAGAATTTTTTTAAACTAATTATTTAGCTTATCTAATAAAAATACAATTTATGGACCAAGCCAATTAAGCAACAATTCATAGGCACTGAGCTAAAATTTTAGGCTAAATGTGTACTTAACAAAAGTAGTAATATCCATTTTATAAAATAAAGTAGAAAATAAAATTTATTGACAATTCAAATGTCAAGTGATAAGTCAAAATATTTAAATGAGATGATTTTTTCAAAACTTTTCATATATATTTTTTCTTTTTCAAAATTGGGACTGCACATGTGCACACACATATATATCCTATATTCAGTTCAGTTCAGCCGCTCAGTCATGTCCAACTCTTTGCAACCCCATGAACCGCAGCACACCAGGCCTTCCTGTCCATCACCAACTCCCGGAGTACACCCAAATCCATGTCCATCGAGTCAATGATGCCATCCAGCCATCTCATCCTCTGTCGTCCCCTTCTCCTCCTGCCCTCAATCTTTCCCAGCATCAGGGTCTTTTCCAATGAGTCAGCTCTTTGCAT